TGTTTTTGTTTGGTGAACAGGCTAGTCCTCTTAGGTTTACCTATTTTTTGCCCGTTTTCCAGGAAGGAACATAYAGACCTTTCCTCACAGTCTTACTGCAGTACTTTTTCCTACTGGTGCTGTTAGTATCACCTCCTGTAAATGCAAGCTGCAGTGCTTGTTTCTCAGGGCTTCACCTCTGGACCTCAGACCGTATTGCCTCTGAGCAGACAACCTGAAGAACCCAACAATTCTCCCATTTAAACAGGACAGCTGGTATCATCCATAGCYCTCATCCAGGGCTGTCATCAACAGTTCTTGAGAGCCCCTCTGCTGAAGTCACTTCCCTTGATTTCTTTGGTAGTTGTACAAGTACCATGGTCTTTATAACAACAGCTTGGGCTTTGGTTGTTAGAAGGGAGAAGAAGCCAAGACAGCAAAATAAACTGAGTTTAGTGGTGGTTTTTTGCTTTTTTTTTCCCTGAATGTTGACAAATATGCTTTCCTCTCTTTTCTTTAAGATTAGTCATCTCTGCTTGAATGCTTCTTATGCTTTTAGTAACTGATTTATACAGCCAGACAAAGATCACATCTCATGAAAAAGAAAAGTAGTACAGGCGATTCATCCCAAGCTTCCTTAGCATTTTTACAAAGTCAGTCTTTTCTGATTATGGTTGATTTTACAGTTGATCAAAACAGCAAATAATTTTGGCACAGATGGAGTCTGGTGACATGAATGCCTGTAAATCCCACGTTTCAGCCTGTTTTCCTGGAAACTGTTAGAGAATCTTCCTCTCCCCAAGCGCATGTGGCTGGTGGCTGGTTCAGCAGTTCGGCAAGGAGGATGGCAGGGTTGTCATGACAACCAGTTACATGCTGTGAGCAAAGATGGTGACAAATGACCAGCTTCTGCCTGGTTATCACTCCTCATTGAGTAACGTTCCCCAAATGAGACAGACAGTCTGATTTATAATTACTTGACCTGTTGACTTGTGGTTTTGCTGCATTTGTTTCTGAGATAGCATTCACACTTCTTGCAGTGATGCTTAGGCGAGGCTGCCCGCTGAACATCACTGGTGTGAATCATGCGAGTAGGTGATGCTGTTGGTTTTGCTGCAGTGCGTGCAAAGTGAGGAGGAGTTATCTTTGGAGTCTTCTTTTCATTAAAGTCAGGCAACTTGAACTGGCACATTGAGCCCACTACAGGAAATAGGTGGGATAAAAATACACAAGACCTATTTTCTTTCTATTGTGCTGTTGAATGGAGAGTGTTCCTTGAATTTCATTTGCCCTCGGTCATTAATAYATCTTCCTCTCCCTTCAGTGCCTGCCTTGATCATCAGCGTGGGTATGGGGTGGGAGGGGAATATGCTTCCCTTAGGATGAAATCCTGGATCTGCTGAAGTAATTGGCATTTTTTCAGTGAGACAAAGTTTCTGTGGCTTTGTTTTCCTTTAGTTTTGCTTTTATTTACATACAGAAGACAGAGGTAAAGTATTTTCATTTCAAGATTGTGGAACTTCAGAAGAGAAGACAGTACTTCCCCCCCCCCATCTTCTTCCTTTTCAATAAAAGCTTTTTATTCTCCTGTCTTCTCAGTTCCTTCCTTGTGCTTCCCCTTGAGTGCCAGAAGGATATCATATGTAATACATATGTGATATGGTGGGCCAGCTCTTCATTATGCTTCAGCTCAGCAATGAACACTGACATCAGATATGAAGTTAGTGATATCCCACCGGTGCCCAAACACTAGGGCAGCATGTTGTTGGATCCTGTTGTCTATCCCATTTTGTGCAATTTTTGACAAYAGGAAGCTTTGATGCAGATGCTTGTATCACAAACAAGGTGCTTTTCAGTTCAAATTCCTTCATTTATATTCTGCATCCGCTGCTGAAATATGAGCAATGGGACGGCCAGAGATTCAGGAGTAACTTTATAGATTTATTATTGGCCAGATTATTTTTTTTTAGATTTGGAAAACACTGGAAGTGTTTCTGTTTCTGCCATCATGCTTCCAGCCTGGAAGTAAACATTCCTTTTCAGTTAATTTTTTTTACTGCAGAAATGTATTTTTGAGACTGTGGTAGGCAATCACAGTGTGGATCAAATCTGTTGTTGGGATGGTGTCCCTTTTCTTCAGAGGATCTTTACAGCAGAAAAATTTTTACAAAACCATTGTAAGAATTGAGAGAACTAAGCTAAAAGTAAAAAAAAAAAAAAACAAAAAAAACAGAGATAACTCATCTTTATCTCTGTAGACTGTGAGTGTTACATTACTTAGCCTATTTAGATAGTGTAGATCAAGTGTTTGCAAGTATTGTTAAGCCTTGCAGACAGGCTGTCTCACTTGGGCATTCTGCTGCCATGCAGTGAAATAAGAAATAAGCCCTCTTTAAGCTAGAAAGACTGACTGGAAGTCTAGTGCTTTCAGTAACTCCAGAGGAGCTGCATTTGCATTAGCCAGAGGCTGTGAACTCACATCTGCTGCTACTGTTTCCGAGGAGCCTAAATGAGATCCCTCTGTTGAAACAAATCCCTGGAAAASCTAAGCACGTGTCCTTTGAATGGTGCAATGATACCTCTTAGATTTCCCTGAATATATTTTCTGTSTTAGTATGACTCTACCTTGCCACTGTCTCCCTATTTTCCAAACATGTGTTTTCAATCTGTGAAATAACAGTTAAAATTGTGCTGTGGCATAGGTGCTATTACTGTACTGCACCTCCCAGGTACAGAATTCCCAGCACTCTGATAACTGTACAGCATTTTACAATCTCTGTTTTAAAGTCATGTACACTGCCAAACTCAAGCCCTTTGGGACTGCATTTCCTCTTACTCAAGAGTACTCTTTTTGTCCATAAATTAGTGTCCTGGTCATGCTAATTGCTGGAATTTGTTGTCACCTGAAAAAGAGATGTATGACTGTTTTTCCAAGTATATCTCCCAGTTCAATACAAAATTTATTGCATTATATTTGTTGCCTTAATTTAAGAGTATTTGCTTCAGGAAGTTAGTTTCCTTGGCCTTCAGGAAACCAGGTTCCCTCATGCACTAGGGTTCAAGCAGAGAGGCACCGACTCTGGTCTCTGCCCCACACCTTGCTTATGATCACCCTCAAGTTCTCTTGGAAGCAGAGATAACACCTAGCTGCTGTGCAACAAACATTAGATGTTTTGAAATGTCATGCCATTGAATGGGGTCATCCAAATTCAGAGGAGAATTATTTTACTGCCTGAAATTCCACATTCAAATAAAGAAAAGCCACTCGTGTCCTGTGATAGGTCTCTGATGCCTTGAGTGCATTTGTCTGTCTTATTAGATTGKGTATGTTGGTGCTTATTTTATCTTTCTTGTGCTGGTATCTCTTGTGATGCCTCATTATCTTTGACTTGCACACCGAGTGCTTTCATCTGTTAGAACAGTCAGTGCACTAGGGAGGCTTTCCAGTTTCTGCTGGTGGGAAACCACAGCCTGTGAAAAAGAAAAGGTTATCCCAACAGTCTCTCCCATTCTGYAGCATGGGCTGGGACACACATATGTTTCTTTTTTTTTTTCAATTAGGTTTCTGTCACAAACAACTCACCTGTTTCAGGATGAACAGATGCTTTCTGGTATTGTTCAGCCGTGCTCATCAGCTGCTCTGAGGCCACTCTGTTTGCATGAGGAGTACAGCACACAGATATAAACCACAGTTATTTTGTATGGGAAATGCTGCTCTTTAAAAGTCTTGAGCTATGTTAATTGAAAAAAAATCTAATTCCTGTTTTATTTCTCAGCATATGCAAACATATTTTGGTGTATTTATTTTTGCTAGTTTTCAAAGTAAATCACTGTTACTCAGCTAGGTGGTATTTTCTTATCCCAGATATTTTACCTTATTTCCTTCCAACTGTTTGTTCACATACGAGATAATTTCTTCACCTGTAGCTAATTGTTGCAGAAATGTTTTTAGTTTAAGTCTCTGGATTAACAATTTTATTTCTGCTTTTACTTCAAAGTAATTTCTATTTAGGTTTTTCTGGTACTGTATGTCATTTCAACAATAAATAACATTCTGTTGGTTCTTCTGCATCTTTGCCTGATTAGTTTGAAATGAGTAGTTTCAYGCAACCATAGCATAACACTTTCCTAGCTGTATGTTTGAATAGCTGTGTGTACRTGCACGGTATGTATGGTGAGGACAGAAGCTGTACCTAAACTTTAAACAGRAACTGGACATGCAGATGTTGCCACACATACTTCATTGTGATGTTTAGGTCTTTGATCACATTACTTCTTGCATGATGTGGCCAAACTGTGGAAAGTGTTTTGCATTTGTTTTCCTTTTATGTGGTTGAGAAGAGTGCAGTCAATTCATTCAGCTGGAAAACAAAAATGGGTGAGGTTGAAGATGAATAGGCTTTAAAACTTGTAAAATCCTGGAGTCAGGAGCTATGTACTTGAATGCCATAGAGGCCACAACAGGGGACATTTAGAAGCACGTGTTTAGAATATGTGTGAACTTCAGGAACTGATTGTGGGAATGTTGCTGATTTCAGAGATTGGGCCTTAGGTGAGGCTTTTTATTAAATTTGAGTGCACTGATATTGTTTTTCATTTCTTCTGCAGAATTTGCTTAGATTAGTCCTCAAGTGATAAATCATTAATTTAAGAGCTTTTTAAGTGTCTCTGGGGAAGAAATAGTCTGGTTTGTACTTCACAGTGTCATACATTTGTGTGTCTGTTTGTGTGTATGGGTAGCAGAAATGTGAGACAGTCAGAAAAAMGCAATTGTCATAAAACACCTAGTAGGAACTTTGAAGGATAGACTTTAATTCCAAAAAGGGATTAAGAGCAGGAGTATAACAAAAGGTTATTCATCTGTTATTCACTGGCATGTTACATTGAGTCTCTATAATTTAGTGTGTCTTTCTGGTGTTCATTTACACAAGAGCTGTACAACAGCAGTACCAGCTGTGCAGACCCACAGAAGAACTGTTTGTGTCTTTGTGTGATTCTTTTTCTTTTCTTCCTGTTCTCAGCAGATATATGGAGTGACCAATCCTTTCAGACAGACCCAGACTTACCACCTGGCTGGAAAAAAGTCAATGACATTGCTGGGACCTACTATTGGCACATACCAACAGGAACAACTCAATGGCAGCGTCCTGTGTCCATCCCGACAGATCTGCAGGGCTCACGAAAAGGATCACTCGGTTCCATTACTCCATCTCCTACTCCAGAAACTGAGGTAACCTACTGTGTCTTCTTGTGGGCTGCATACTGTAAGGAAAATGGAAATAACTCTTTGAACTTGCAGGTTTAGCTGTTAGGTAAACTGGCCTGATAATGTCCCAAAGTGTAGCTACTTGTTGATAAGACATCGTAAGTATCTATTCTCTGTTCATTTTTTAATGGTTGTACCTGATTAAACACCCTAAACTTTGGATGTGTTGGCTGAAATCAGGCATGTCTCAGATAAATTAGAYAGGCAGTACCTGATGGCTGTGAAGCTTTGGCATTCCTGTAGCACAGGCTGAAGTATTGCTGCATTATGTGGGTACAGGACACATAAAATTTTTGCACATAACAGCAGGCTTTTGGCTGGACTCTGTTTGCATCTTCTTTCTTTTTGGTTCATTTGGTAGGAGGATCACAAAAGACATACAAGTCTTCATTTGGGACACTAGTTACTTTACAGGGTAGTTCCTATTGAATAAACATGAAGTGTTCTCAAGTGTTAAGTCTCCCTACATCCTGCAGTACCAAATATCTGTCAGCATTGCAGTTGGGCTTTAACTAGAAACAGAAAGAGTTACACTCTGTTCTTCACGTGCTGAAAGAACAGTATATGGTACTGCCTTTTAAAATAATGCTTTCAGGCACAATCCAAGTGTTTGTTTGGTGTCATATAGGTAGAAAAATAAATCAATTATCATAAAGAAGGGTATGCTTCAAAAAATACAATCACTTTGTTTTAGCATGCAGGGAAGTCTTCTATGGAATTAAATACTAATATAAAATAAGGTTGTTTAAAATTATTATTATACTGAATTTTGAGAAAAATGCCCTCAGCTCTGTGAAATCAAGGGAAGTCTTTTTACCAGCTCTGAGTATTGGGTCAGGCAATCCTTCAGGTTTTTAGTTAATTTAGAGAGAACATTTTTTCTGTTCTTGGTTTTGTTCATGTATGCACCAAAATAACTTACCTGGAAGTTAAGAGGAGTTAAGGACATTCAGGTATGTATTACCATCTCTGCYTGAAGCTTTCATCCTATATAGGCTTCAATATGTACAATCTTGTTTATTATTTTAGAAAGGTTGTTCCCACATGTTCATAAGTACTACCCATAAGGTCTGCAAACTTGACCACAACATTTCAGTTATGGTTTACTTTAGTCAAGCTCTCATACTGTGCACCAGGCATGCTGGAAATAATTTCTGAGAGGATTCATGGGGAAAGAACTGTAACTGTTACCATTCCGGTAGAAAACAAGAAAAAAAATCAGAAATGCTGAACGCAAAGTGCTGCACATGCTAGTATAAATTCCTGTAATGTACATGTGAGGGATATAACTTTACCACTATTATTTTTCTTACTCTAGAATGTAGAGAATGAGACTTTAAATAGTAAGTTATAGATGGTTTTCACAAAAACACAGAGATTGGTATCGTTGGTGAAGTGCAGAGCAAAAACGCTTATTTTCATTTGAAGTATTTTTCTACTTCTGTTTAAAATGTCTTTACAATTAAAATTGCAGACCTGCTGGTTATATATTAGGTATATTTTGAACCTTGCACAACTCTCTCTGCTTTAGAAGAAATATAGTTTGTGATTATAAATAATAATCATTAATTGTCAGCAGCAGCATGAGAGAACAAAATGTATGAATCATAAAAACATAGATTTTAATACAGTGTATACATGTTTTAAGTAAGACATACATGTATGTGAGAACATAGTAGGCTTATCTAGGTTTTGATACGACAGTTCTGATTCAGCAAGGAATTTGTTCCAGCAAAGACTTACACATAGAGAGTTTTGTGGTAGCACCAAAACCATATCCTGTGGTGTAAAAGGTTATTAAGATAGCTTTGCAWTGCAGTACCAGCAGACTTACAGTACTGCAGTTCAAAACAGGAGCATGAATTCAGCTCAGGACTCTGCCTGCTTCCAAAAAGTGAAACAGCTGCAAAGAACAGGCATAGCTGGAGTTGCAATGGGAACTGTTAGGAAAAGCTTTACATTAAAGCTTTATTAAAAGGAACTGGAGGAAGAATCCTTTGTGATTCAKCTGGTTCTGAGCAGAACCCCAGGACAGAGCAGTGAGAGAAAAATAAGTCGCAGTGTGTGCTTAAGAGATAGGGGTAGATAATTAAATAATTTTGTCAGTGTCAGCTATCATGAATTTTTGGTTTTTAGTCTCTCTGCAATTGGTATGTGCCAGCACTGTATTATCTCCAAGTCAATGGGAGGTGAGATTTGTTTCAATTCCTGTTCACTGCACTGCTGCCTATCCACGTGCTCCTCCTTTCCTTCCCTGAGAAAGAGTAATGCAGGTGTYTGTGATAAGGTCAATCTGACACTTCACAGAAGATGTGGAATTCAGTCTAAAACAGGGGCTCCCAAATGCCATTATCCCTGCACTGCCRCTGGCAGCACCACTTGGGGTGGAGAGCTTCCACCTTTAGGCTGGACCCATGTGTGCTGCTGGTTCCCTCATTGCTGCTGATTCCCTCATTGCTGTTCTCCAAGATAATGTGTTTTGAGCGGGCTGATTTAGCTCATTCCCACATGCTGAAATTTGTATCTCCTCATTCTGAAAAGGTGKGGAGATATATAGGTTTTAGGCAGAACATAATCCAGGACTAAAGACTATCATGGGTAGCATTTCGTATCTGAACCCTGTGAGGCTTCTGAGTCCATAAAAATATCTTATCTAAATCACATTTTTCTGTGAAGCATCATGGTACCAGTCTTGAAATTAATTTAGTTTGGGTTCTTTCAGGTTTTGAATTTGTTGAAGATAAACATTTAAATACTATTTCCACCCCCACCCCCAGTAACRTTTTTACCCTTTGTCTTGTTTTCCCCTTTCTTTTTCTTTATTTTATTTTATTGTGTCCCTGTCTCTTAAATGACGTAATATACAGAAGGTTTCCTTCATTTGGTAGAATGTGGCTCACAGCTGAGGGCAGTCAACAAAGATCAAGTCAGCCATTTTTATGTTGTAGCTTACTCTGGATATTTGGCATAAAGAAAAACAGTTATTACTCTTGAACAGAGAATCAGAAAAAACATGGGTAGGGAGGAATGATGCTGCAATGTACAGAAATGGCAAAAAGCATTTTAAAAAGGAAAATTATGTGAAAATGTCTTACTTTTACATAGTCTRCAAGGCAATTTTTCTTTCACAACATAATCAGTAAATTTCAATCCAAAGCAATTATGGGTYAAGCATTATGCAAAAATCTTGCTGATTTAACAAAAATGCTAATAAATGCTGAATAGGAATAACCTGTAACATTCCTTCCCTTCCTCCCCCTCAAAGGCATGAAAATGTATTTTGGTTTTGCACAGCTGTTTAAATTTGACTTCGTTTTAGATCACTCTTTTCTCTTGTGTGTTGTCAAATTACTTCCTTTTTGAATTYGTGACATTCTCTTCCAAATTTTAGAAATTTTGCTGCGTCTTTCCCATTTCCTGTGCAGAGAAAAAGCCATAGTGTTTAAGTTTCAGTAAGAGCTTTGAGATCATGGGAGAATTTGGTGATGGTAATTGTGTCTTCTTACAGCCTAACTCATCCCAGGTCCTGATTACCTCTAGAAGTTCTTCTGTAGGTAACATAACCAGTTGCAGCTAGTAATCAGAGAAGGAGCTTGGTAGGAAAAGGTAACAACTCAATTAATTCAAAGGCACGTTAGGAAAGGCTTTCTCCTGGGAGTTGTTTCTCATAAAATAATTCCTCCAGTGGGGATATATTGASAGTGTTTCTGAGGTGAGGAGTCCGCCTTGCAAATTAATTCATTGGGCCCTATTAGTGGGTACCACTTCACCTTGGGGCTGAGCCTAGCRGATCTCATCTTAAAAGGAAAATTAATCTCAAGAGTTCTTCATTTGGTGAAGCTATAAAGAGGTGGCTCTGGGTCTCCCAGCAATCAAATCTCCTGTCTCACCTGGCTTTTTTTGAGGACTGTGGAATTTCTTTCCTGGTGAGACAGAGGAGAGAGGCAACTCCAACATCCGCTGTTCCTCTCAAGTTTTACAGAAGAGCCTGAACCTCAGGTTGCTTAGTGCTAAACACACTGCTGCTTGCTTAATTGTACCAGTGAATACCTCTGAAAATTTTTGAGAAACTTCAATGGAAATGCCTGGTGTGGGCTTTGTTTGGTTTGGGTTTGTTTTTTAAAAAAGCTGCTAGACTTTTCAAAACTACTTTTTCAGCAAGAACTCTCTGCACTCCTTWCTGATCCTCCTTCCCTTCCTTACCCTTTTCTTGTGTTTTCTCGCTAGAAATATTTGATTTTTACCTTGTATGTATCTTAYCTTTGTATATATTTTTTGTGTTTCAGTATTTCTAGTTCCAGTACTGTTAGGGTCTTTTAACAAAAGTGCCTATGAAATGGAGATCCTAATGTTTCCCCTTAATTGCTGTTTATCAAAGGCTGTAGCAGCTGTGGCCAACATTCATATTCAAATTCATTTTGCTTGCTTTTAAGATCATAGTTAAAGAGTAATTTCATTGTCTGTTCCTAATTTATATTAACTTTCCTTGTTTCAATCATTTGTTTTGGTAAGTAACTGTTAGAAGCATGTCTTCTCTCCCCTTTCTTCCAAATGCCATGGTATAGTGAAGTAAGTAGTTGAAGTTTGAGGTGATCTGTTCCCTAACCCATCCTGTAAATATCAATGCTAACAACCGTCTTGTGTTTTTTTTTCTTTTTCCTTTTCTTTTTCTTTTTTTTTTTTTTTTTTTAATCAATGTGCTTCTTCGTGTGTGAATAATTATGTGTCTAGAAACAGCCATGGAGTGATTTTGCTGTACTGAATGGGGGAAAGATTAATAGTGACATTTGGAAGGCAAGTATATTGTCAGATTTTAGAACCTTTACTACTATTACCCTTGTTTTTTGCATGGCAGTGGCTGTTTTTTTCCCCTTTTATTTTTCCATGAATGTCATTCATAACCTAGGCCAAAGAGAGTGGGGGTACTGCTAGGGATGTCTAGCTCACAAACATGCTTCTGATCTTTCCACTTGGAATGGATTCAATCTAAACTAGCAGSGCAACTGCCATGATGTAACAAGTACAATGCCTGCACTGAATGAAATGCAGCTTGAGAAATATCTATATATATACATATATATGCATGCCTCTTTCCAACTTCGGCCAGAAATACTGTCGCTTCTTTGCAGGGAGGATTTAATTTCCCTTWGAAATAAGAAATAACATGATGGTGTACTTAATACTATTTTAATAGTATTAAGACTATGCTAATAGCACTGCCTCTGTCTCTAGGATCTGCATGCAGCCACTGTGAACCCAGACCCAAGTCTGAAAGAGTTTGAAGGAGCAACATTACGCTATGCCTCATTGAAGCTCAGGTACAATGACTTCAGAAGTCTCGGTGGAATGACCAGCTCTGTTTTGTGTTGTGCTGTAATTTTCATATGATTTTAAGACTGATTTTGTCTTTTTTTTTTGTTTTGGTTTTTTTTAAATGTAACAGAAATGGTCCGCAATCGGATGACGATGATTCTTGCAGCATCAGCAGTGATCCAGAAGTCAAGGTCTGTAAGAAATTCCAGAATGGTATAACAATTAAAAATATAGCAATTGTAAGCATAAACATGCAAGGTGCAGAATGTCTCCTAAATTTTGAAACGACGTGTACCCCTCCTCTTGGCACAATGTAGATTGATCAAGACTAATTCCATCAAAGCAATTTGCAGATTTAAAGCTTCATTCAGCTCAGTCAGGAAAGTGTGACTTATTTTAAAATCACATAAGCCGGGAAATTGGATTTTAGAGCTCATTATTCTACTGTCCAACTGTAACAACTGTTCTCTTGCACAACTAAGTGAGTTTTCTGGTTTGCGTGAGAGAGGGCTCTGTTGTTTATCATGTCTGGATAGCCTCTGGGGGCATTCAGTGACAGAATTTGCTCTTTGTTTTCAAGTTTGTCCCTTTTTAAAGTCCTTCCTTTTTATGYGTCTGTTTCAACTCACAACTATGAACAAGGAAGTTGCTTTTTAGAGCAAGAAACTTCATGTTTTAGAAGGGAGAACGCAACTAATTTGAAATTGCAGTTCATAGAGAAAAATCAGACCATTATGTGACAAAGCACCATCATTAAATCAAAGCTTTTACTGTTGTCATCTAAGGGTTATGAGGAGAAAGAAGCAGCAGAACGTTTTGAATACTTGCATATATATCTCCAGATTTGTCAAGTTTTGCCTTGTGATTGCATCCATTTTTAAGGGCATATGTGAATCTCTATARTTGGAAATTTAAATTTAGTAATTTAAATAAATGTTTTGGCTGTGCCATACACCTGCAGCAAGTGAGAGGATCAGAAATTACTTGTAGGAACAAATAAGTATGTAACAGAGTTAAAAATTTTAATAGCATTAGTGGTRTATTTTAAGAGACAAAACAGTCTGACCAGGGCATTTAATTTTCTTTGTCATTTTGATTATTTGGCTTGTGATGTTTAAATCAGATGTAAATAGTTGTATTTTGCTTGGCCTGCTGTTTAAAAGCAAGGGTTTCAGCTGTGCTCATTATAATAACGAGCACTAAATTCTGAGCACAGTAAATGGAGTTGAAGGAGTGAGGAGCATTAGGTTCCAGTCCTGAGAATGGTGGAGTTGCTGTTTTCAGCCTTATGGTATAATGGAAAGCTTTATGCAGAGGGAGTATTTTGATATGTCTGTGACTTTACCAGGTGATTTGCACTGAGTATTTTTGAGCCCTTCCTGCATGGAGGACCATGGCAGTAGCTTTGTGGATAAATAATTTGTGTCATCATCTCCCTTCCCTCTCTGACTTGCTGTTTAAACTTCAGTATTTAGGTACCTATCTGGTTCTGTGAAATGGCTCAGTGCCAAAAACTTGTCCTCTTTTGTCTATCACAACTGGTTTGAGTTTTCCAGTTTAGGCAAAACTGTGCTGATAATGCTTAAATGGGTAATCAAAACTGAGCACTGAAACATTCACAAAAGTGATTGAGAGAAGCAAGACRAGAAATATAGGAGAAACTAAACATGTTTAAAGCACCTTACCTGGTTTGTGCCTTATGCAGATGCTGTGCAGGGGCAGCAGTGACCATGTGTGTGGTGCTGCAGGTGAGGCTCAGCAGTGCTGGTGTTGGTTTGCAGCAGGAGAGCCTCAGGGCAGAGCTGTTCAGTGCCTCTGCCCCAAGGACAGGGCAAGTATGGCCATATGTCACAGGAGTGGGAAGTGGTCCAGAAAGAGCAGGGATAATCGTCACCTGTGGAAAATGCTCTGGGCTCTGTAATTCTCACATGGATGGGAAGTGGATGGGGTAGGTGGGTTCCTTGCTAGACCATTTCACCCCAAATATTGARAGCCTAATAGGATTTGAAACTGATGACTTGGAAAAATCAGATATTTTTAGCTCTTTAGGCTCTCTCCTGCCATATTATGTGCCTTAACTATCTTTGATTAAAGCTTGCTTTTGTGTGCCAGCAAGCACAGATACTTTTTCTTAATTTCATCATTAGAGAAGAAAGCTTTTTTAAACTCATTAAACTGTCTAGTGGAAGAATTTGTCAAAATGAACAAGGTTATTAGAGGTATATTAGAGATTTTAAACCTACTTAAACCTATCCATGACATTGGCCAGTACATTTGTGGAAAAAAAACAACTTCTCTATGACACTTTTAATGCTGTATTTCAGCAAAGGGAACCGTGCCACCTTGTGGAAAGCTGTAGTAGGTGTCTTCCCCCAGACTGTCAACTTCTGCAAAGATTGAAGCACTGTGAAAATGCCTGCTTTGGGAAAAGCGTGTAATGTAATTCTTGCAAGAAAAGCGACTTATGCAGCAACCAGTTAAGCATTCATAATTGCCAGTAAAGAACAAGTGTTTCTCCATGTATCTCATGCTTAAGATGCAGTTCATGGTTCCATATCCTTGGCATCTCCGTCAGGTTGTCTGCAGAAGGTCATAAAGGAGAAGTGGAAAGAGTAGAATTATTACATCCAGCTTCTTGATTTCAGTAATTTGTTTTGGTAGAAATCTCTTGAAGAGATGGCTCATTGCACTTGATGAGGATCCTAATTCTGCATGTGAAACATGCACTACTAGAAATGAGTTTTGAATTGGTGCTTCCCAGGAGACAGATCATAACCTTCCTGGTTAATTTATAGAGCAATGTGTGCCTTCCTAATTGAGTTTCAAGGAAGGCAAAAGATACTTTTACCAGTCCCAGACTGTAAATTCTTCTGGATTGTCTTTTTTTTCATTGTTATAAAATATTATGTCCCTATGTAAAGACATAGGAAGGCACTACATTTTTTCCTTATGGCCATAAATGGAAACTGAACTTCCTGGGAAAGCTGTCACTGTCCTTAGGAACGGATGAAAAATGGAAAGCCCATGTGACTCATTTTCTCTGAAATCTTTTCTGGATTGGCCTGTTTGGCCTGACATTTGGACATGCCTTTACCCTCTCCTTTTTCCTTCAAGCATGGATTTTCAAAYTGCTTGTCCATGCTAGTCTGCTCAGCAATACTTCACTTTTCCAGCCTCACCATTTTAGAGTTTAGTTATGTACCATTATCTTAATACTAGGAAGCATACATTTAAACCTGTGGAAGTACTAGGTKTTTACTCCCAAAGGCTATTTTCTACCCATAAAAACCAGTAAATGCTCTGGATCTCAAAAAAAAAGAGAATGAGCCTATTTCCAAGAGAGACAGTGTTAGGAAATGCTGATAACAGATATTTAAATTTAGTGATTCACCTGTAGGTGAATGAAAACACAGTTGGAGATGTGGAGAATGAGTTGGTGATGAATTCCTATGGATTATCTGGGCTTTAGGGTTTAACCAGTTGTTCTTTGGCAAGCTGACTTATGGCTGTTATGAAAGTGGCCTGTAAATGGCACTATCAAAATAATGTTACAAAATACTATGTGCCCCCCAAAGATTTAATACCCATATCTTGGCTGCTTTTCTTTCTATGGAAGCAGGTATATGTGTTTTGGAGGTATTCTGTATTTGCTTCTTTCTGGTCTTTTCCAGAAGCAAATATTCTGCCTAGACACAGGATCATGTGCAAATAATCAGTATGTATCCTTGGGGATGGACATGGATCCAATTTCTGATCCAAGTGAAGATTTAACCTGAGAGGAGCTTTTGCCATCTCTAGCAAGCCCACGAAAGGATTCTTTTCACTGAAAAGAAGTACATAATATTTTCTTAGTGTCTGAGTAGCTTCTAAAATTCTTGGTGCAGGCAGGGAGTATTCAACAGTTTCAAGCAGTTCACTTCAGGCTGCATTACAGTCCTCTCCTGAGCTCATAAAATGTTGCAGAAAGCCACAGTTCAATTAATTTCAATTAATKAAATTTGAGGAGTTTATTCCATCCTAAATCTTTTCACGAAAGTAGATTATATCTAAAAGAGAAATAGGGCATCTTCAACATCTTTTTCTTCTAAAGTGGTATTTTTGCTTGGTTTATGAATTAGGAATTTGAATTTGTTTCTCTCAAAACAATCTTTTGTTTCCATTCCCGAGGAAGTAGCACTAGAAGAAATCTTGTATCCTTCTATTCTYATAAGGCAACCACAGTATATAATCCCATGTATTAATTTCAATTTTCTTTTCAAGTGTTTTTTGTGGGGRTTTTTTCTGCCTTGGCTAGTCTTACCAACAAACTGATTCAAGTGTAATCCACCATTCCATCTTTGCAGCTCCTGGGTGGCAATGGTGAGTGATGGGGCTGGCTGTTTCTAAACTGGTTTGTTTTTTTCTCAGTTTGGCTGTTTGCCATTAGCAGTATTAAGGGACCCTCCCGTCTATAGAGATGCTGCAGGTGAATTATGCAGGTGCTTGAAAATGTTCTGCTTCAAAAGCAGTTTAGAAATAGCCAACTAAAGCACTAAAATACATATACTCAATTWTTTTTTTTTAGTATTTTTCATGTTGTGTGTYAGACCTTCCCGACAGTGTGTTTGTTCTTTTTCTCTATGAATGATAGTTACTACTATTGACATCTGTTGTGTCATTAGGTAATAAGTGCTAATGTCATGATGTGATGTACTTCATAAGGATTTGCATCTAGAGGATATTTGCTTCCACCCTGTTCCTAAATGGAGTCCTGTTTAATCAAATATGAACATGAGTTCAGGGCAGAGGAAAATGTAGTGTTTTCCCAGATCTCATGGATTTACTTTATACAGGGATACAGTATGCTTTTTTTGTTATACATAAAATATAAATATCCGGGATAATGTAGTTTAATTTCTCAAGCCATTCAAGATTATAATGAGATCCTACAAAATATTACAYGTCTTTCACTCCTAGAAATCCCATGTATCTCTGGGATCTAATTAGCTGTGAARCTAACATGCAGGATCAGGACAGGGGTGCCTAAACAGTAGGAGGGATGTTGAGGAGAGATTATACTTGTAGTCTTCCTTAGAAAAATAAAGCTATTCCTTATGTGAAAGAATGGAAACTGCTTCAAGATTTACCATTAGTTTCCAGGTTTGTAATGCAAGAATTACAAAACCTTGAGTTTGGAGGCATCAGGATTTGC